TGGCACCAAAAGGGAGTTGGGGAGCGTTTGGGGAACATCTGTAACGGTTCCCGTTACAATTAGCCCTAGTTTAATGTGTTTTAATTTAAAGACCTAAAATCCAAAGATATCTCGTATTTAAGTATTTTTCAGGCTCTATCACTTTCTAGAAAACGAAGTGCAAATTTGTACAAATTTAATACAGAATATGCTTAATTTATTGTAATCAATGAACAACAAAAAATACTTTTCTTTAACCGTTCATTTTTTTTTTTTACTTTCAGTCTTTTCACCTCTTGAACTTAACTATAATTAGTACAAAAAGGGATCAACATCGAATTTTAATGCTAATTCGTTAATGAATTACTCTTCAATACCACCATTGCTTTTGATCTTGTACCATGAAAAAGAAATAAACCAATCTTTTATGAACAATCTTTAATGCAGCAATTTAGCATTAAGAGTTTTTGTAACTATATCATGTTAATATTAAATCATATTTAATGTTAAGATTGAATAATTGTATGTTGTTTTCCGCCCCATGCGAGAATTTTTCATTCATAAAGAGACGATACAAAATCCAGTGAAGGTCTTAAATTCCATATTCTTTTGAACAGTGAAAGTATTGTATCGTGACAAGGTCTGCCGTGACATGGACCCTTGGATTTTTAAAGTTTCACCCGAAGCACCCTCAACTTTTACTTCAAAGAGCCAAGTGCTTGGCAAAGGAATAGTTGCTACCTATTTTTATCAGTTTAGGTCAGTCGCGGTCAAGATTTGGATCAAGGAGCAAGTGCTCTTCTTACTGAGCTATCATGAACGGTCAAAATGTTGAGAATATGGCAAAAAATATAAAGCGTTGCTATGGAAAAAAGATCAAAAAGCTGCATAATAGTGTATGGATTATGCATAAACTGTGATGAGAAATGTATTTACCATAGCTTGAAATGCAAGTGCAAGTTTGGTTTTTCATCTCACATGGACACAATATTGGCAATTATACAGTTATTTTTTTACGGAAAAATAGCTATGATCATCACCACATTTTGATTAGTATATATATACAATGCTATAGTTATATCATTTATATTTTTTTAATCTACAAGTATTATCATGTCATCATCATATGAGATGAAGTAGGACTATTTATCTTATTGTGGTTTGATGGAGATTAGTCTGGGCTCCATCTCTGACAACTGCCGTAAAGATTGGTTCAGGGAATCCAAATGTCATAACATAGCTCTGTTACACAAAATAGAAAAAAAATAACAACCTCTAATTAATTTGTGGACATTTCATAACAAGTCAGTCGTACTGGAACGTTATGCAAAAATTCACGTGGAAGAAGTGGCGCTTATAGAGACTGACGTATGAAATTCATGTGGGAAAAGGATTATTAAAAAATCTTTTGGAAAGTGCAAGAGATTTATAAGTGGCCATGCGTTATATATAATGATGCCTTAATACTAATAGGCCTACAATTCTTGATTAAAGTCTGGTTGTGGACACCTCATAGGGTATAAGCGTGAGTAGAAAGGGTCTTCATATAAATGCAGTGAGTATTTACCCTAGTTATGTTCCCCAAACGAAGTTGGGGAACATATTTTTTTTACTCTGTTTCTTATTATTATTATTATTTTTCTTCCTGGGAAAATTTTGTCCTCGAGTGTTCTTGTAAACTACACATCCGACTAAGGTAAAATGTTTTTAGGGTCAGTAGACATGTTATGTAGATTTGCCGAACAAATGTCATTTTGCGCGCACGTGCTTGCAAGAGCGCGCACGTGCAACATTAGAAATGACCAATATAATGTATATTGCCTTAACTTTTCTATTTTTTGATGAAATGCCTTGAAACTCATAATGTAAGGATATATAAGTAGTATGACAAGATGACATGGTCAAAATAGCAAATCTCACGCGCATGCTCGTGCGCTTTGCTCTGATTGGCTGAAACTAAAGTCTCAATATCTTTCTTGTTTTTTGACGAAATCCTTTGAAATTTTGTACATAGCCATGCATTACGATATCCAACAACATGATATATAGCAGTGATCATGAAAACACGTGCATGCACGTGTGCTGCAATCTGATTGGCTGAAACTTTAAAATGCCATAACTCCCTTGATTTTCAACCAAACAGGAAGGGATTTGGAACATAGATATACATAAGGGCCTTCTATAAGAAGGTGTGGTCGCCATGCACATGCATGCACGTGCGTGTACGTGCGCTGCAATCTGATTGGCTGAAAGTTTAAACAGCTATAACTCAATTGGTTTCCAACCAAAATGGATGGGATTTGGTACATAGATATATATAGTGTACTTCTACAATAAGGTATGGTCACCATACACATGCATACATGTTCGTGAACGTGCGCTGCAATTTGATTGGCTGAAACTTTAAACAGCTATAACTCCCTTGGTTTTCAACCAAACAGGATGGGATTTGGAACATAGATATATATAGTGGACTTCTACTAGATGGTATGGTCACCATACACATGCATACATGTGCGTGAACGTGCGCTGCAATCTGATTGGCTGAAACTTTAAACAGCTATAACTCCCTTGGTTTTCAACCAAACGGGATAAGAATTAGAACATCGATAGATGTTATATACTTCTACAAGAAAGTATGGTCACCATGCTCATGTATGCACGTGCGTGCACTTGAAATGGGTAAAATCAAAAATACACTTATATGAGCGTTTTTTTATACTTTTTGATTAAATACTTTAATATTTAGCAAATTAAAATACAAAGATTGTGTAGACAATATGATATGGCCATTATGCACATGCATTCACATGCGCAAGTGTGCAATGCTAAAACTTGAATGAACTTGGCGTTGTTAGAGTCTCAATTTAATTGAGATTTAATGAAGTTTACAGGGAATATGGCACCAAAAGGGAGTTGGGGGAGCGTTTGGGGAACATCTGTAACGGTCCCCGTTACAATTAGCACTAGTTACCCATCAAATTGATTATTTCGTTTCATATTTCTCTCAACACAAGAATACATTTGCTTATCTTCCTTCAATGAATAAAACACATAGGGCAGTTTGTCCTGAGGTGCTACCTTTTGTGAAGAATAACTTTTTTTTATATATTCTCAAAAGTTTCATTAACAGTGGCATAGTATTTTAGCATAAAAAAAAACATATAATGATGACAGATAGACCAATTTCCAAAGGAAGATAATCCGCATTATCAATTATTACCTACACTTAGATTTAAAAAAATTATGAAAATGGGTCAACTGTGAGTAATAAATGTCTGTTTTCAGACATGTCCTCCTGCAGTGAGGGTTGGATGCAATACCTGGATCACTGTTATCTCCTCAGGACTACACCTACCAGCTGGGACAATGCCATTGTAAGATCATTCAGTTTTTATTTGAAAGATAAAAGTGGGCTTTTGTATTTATATTTTTAAAAATATATAACAAGATCATATTAAAAAGACGTAGATTTTTGTTTTTTTTTTTTCTTATTTATGGTTGCATAATGAACAAATTAGGTATATAATTTTAACAAAAAATCTTTAAGATTTTAAATAAAAAAATCAAATATGCCATGCTGGAAATCAAGATTAAAAAACATAAAATTCAAGCATGTAAGTATTTTGCATTTTTTCCATATCTACAAAGGTTTTATTAATTCAAATAAAGAATTCCAAAGTTTCCAATGAGCTTAGCTGAAGAAATATAATCTAGTGAATCAAAATTCCGTATTGCCGTATTCGATTTACAAAAAAAAATATATAATTCCATAGTAAGCGATTGGCGCTGAACTATTACAATGCATTAGTTTTATCTTTAGTTTTTTTTTTTACAGCTCTATGCTTGGACCATAAATCTTAGAGGAACTGCCCCACTTTTACACAGTTAACTTTTTTTTATAAAATAGATTGAAATCAAAATTAAGCCTGTCTATTTTTGGGGATTAGGGTGCTATATTTAATATTTTCTTTTAATTACTAATATGAAAACAATTTCTTTTATGACTAAAATACATGTAATTAAAACATTTTACATTTGACTGTTGACTTGTCTTACCATTCAGCTACAATGTAGAGTTTTGGATTTTTTGGTAGAGATGAGACAAAGAAGAAGTAATGGATTCGTAAAATAGGAGCATTAGGTATGTACATATAAGTACACGGAAGAATAGTAGTATTAGGTATGTACATATAAATACACTGAAGAATAGTAGTATTAGGTATGTACATATAAATACACTGAAAAATAGTAGTATTAGGTATGTACAAATAAATGCACTGAAGAATAGTAGTATTAGGTATGTACATATAAGTACACTGAAGAATAGTAGTATTAGGTATGTACATATAAATACACTGAAAAATAGTAGTATTAGGTATGTACATATAAATACACTGAAAAATAGTAGTATTAGGTATGTACATATAAATACACTGAAGAATAGTAGTATTAGGTATGTACATATAAATACACTGAAGAATAGTAGTATTAGGTATGTACATATAAATACACTGAAGAATAGTATTATTAGGTATGTACATATATATACACTGAAAAATAGTAGTATTAGGTATGTACATATAAATACACTGAAGAATAGTAGTATTAGGTATGTACATATAAATACACTGAAGAATAGTAGTATTAGGTATGTACATATAAATACACTGAGAAATAGTAGTATTAGGTATGTACAAAAAAATACAGTTAATACACTGAACTATTTATACATGTATATAAATCATTTGGTGATATTATTTTTACTACTTTTAACGGTGCAGAGTATAGAAAGTTGTTCAAATAGAATAGGAATATCTTATATTTATAATGAAATATATTTTTTTTCAAAATGTTATTTCATGTTAATCCACTAATCTCAAAAGTTTAATGAATAAGAAACAGTAACGTTTCCCATATTTAATAAACAACTATTAAATAAAACGGAATATTTAAATGCAAAAATTATATTGACATTCATTATGTTAGAAGAAGTTTTTGCTCTAAAAACTCTTTTCGTTTTTGAAATATTTATCAACTGGTACACTGTAAGATGCAATATTAATGTCACAGTATATTTCACTTGTGATATAATACACATGAAACCAAATACCTCTGCAGTCAGAATTTGTCCTGGGGTCTGACTATGGGGAGGACTCACTCTACAACGTTGGTGAAAAGACAAAATGACCCCCATGAATAATCCCGGGGGCATTTTTTCAAGCGAAAAATGCCCCCCTTTCAATATTTACCAAAAATGACCCCCGGTCATTAATGAGAAAAAATGACCCTTTTGTCCGTAGAAAATGTGTCATCACCCTAAAAATTTGCAGAACCCACGTGAAGAAAAATGACCCCCGTAGAAAAATGACTCCCTGTGGATTTAAGCTGAAATATTTTTGGGGGGGCAAAAAAAAATTAGATAAACAAGCATGTTGGCCAAAATGCTCACCTGAGCTTATTTGGAATAAATTGATGATATGTATATGATATATCTCATAACATACAATTATAGCTATATTTGAAGGTCAATGCGATGATTCAGAATCTAAAGGAGTAAAGATTTCGATGGTGGAAATCATCGTACTGACAGAAAAAATCAGCAGTATCATATATTATTATATCCTCCGCTTGAAAAGCAGGAGGGTATATAGTGATCGGGATGTCCGTCCGCCCGTCTGTTACCTTCGGGGTATCCATTTGTTATCCGCAACCCCTTTTAATTTTAAAAAAGATGTGTTTATGAAACAGCTATGCCCCTGTATGGCAACATAGCGAAGATTAAACTTTTCTTAAGTGCAATTTAAATATAATTGTACCCAAAAGTAGGGTCTTCTCACAAGAAATACAATTGCAAAATAGGAAAGCCATAGCACCACTTGTTCAAAATTAATGGCTAAGGATAAGTGTTTGAAAGACCGTAGGTAAAACTCAAAGGTCAAAGTTGCTGGATTCTTAACAAAGGTTTAATGTAACAAGGATTACATTTGTGAAATATGAGAGTACTAGTATCTACCGTTTAAAAGTTATAGCCAAATTAAATTACAAATTTGGCATTTTTATGAAAAATGGGACAAACCCCAAGGTAAAGGTCAAATGGTCAAATTTGGTGGTACCCAAAGTAAGGTCTTGTCACAAGGAATATACACATATTGAATATGAAAGGCATAGCTACAATAAATGATCAAAAAAATTTGGCAAGGACGTTTTTGCGGAGAAAAGACCCCAATAGACAGACAGTCATACAAATGGACACGATAAAACTATATCCCCCCGCATCTTGATTACAGGGACATAAAAAAATGATCTTAATTTTTTCAATTAATACAGTATAAAGAAGACGTTACAAAAATGAAAATGTTTGTTCTGATTTTCATACTCTCTAAAAAATATACTCAGAACTAGGTAAAAGGGTTGAGTAAAACAAAAGAAGAAATGCAATGAATACTGTGTGCTAAATCAAAAGGTTATGTATACATGTATAGTTTTTGCATTAGAATGTGTATTTTACACTAGCCCATAGCTTTACAGAGCATATTTTTAGGTGTTATACCCACCCCCCCCCTTACTTATTTAGGAGGAAGTCGATTATCAACAAAAACAGCAAAAACTACCCTACCTTTATTTTTCTATAAAGAGGGACTAAAAATAAGCTTAAAATAATCTACTATTCTACTAATTTTCAACTGTTACTTTGCCACAATACTTTAAAGTATCCCCCCACCAACATTTAAAGTATGCTTTAATCATGGCGAAGTAAATTATGATATGATAGAACTTTGTGAAGGTTTAATTTCATTTCAATATTTTATTGACCCTCTTTAGTATTATTGAAAGGTAAAAATTTTATTAATTTTTGTTTTCATTTATTATTATTATTTCTATTTTTTGATTTAACGTAATTTTTTTTTTGGGGGGGGGGTTAAAAATTTCCTCCTCTGTCATTGTCAAATAGGATTTGCCAAATTTATACAAGCTAATCGTTGAAATGAATGAAAAAATCAATTTTCTATTAAAGGGTATTGGAACCTGATTGTTGCATGGTTTGATTTCTCAAATCAATTGGAATATCATTCTTTAAGCAAACATTATAAGGAGGAATATCAAAAAGAAATTTTATTTACTTGACAATTAAAGAATCTCTTTTTCACTTTAAAGGGGGTCATTTTTCAATGGGGGTGAATTCTTTATAGGACTAACATATAAAATAATGACCCCTAGGTCACTTTTTCTCAAAAAATGATTTATTTCTGGGGGTAGGGGGTCATTTTTTTGTGTTGAAAAATGACCCCCGGTCATTATTCGATGGGGGTCTTTATTCGTCTTTACACCGGTACACTCAGATTTTTAAATGAACATAATAGTAATAGTTATAATTATCTTGTTTGTCTTTCATTGTTCAGAAATCCCGTCGGTGAATGGTATTTGGACAGGAGGTACTGTCTTTGGAAATGAACACTCCTTTATCTGGAATAATAGCAAGAAAGAACTTAACTATACAAACTGGGAAGAAAATGAACCAAATAATTATGGAGGCAAGAGGACTGTTTGGTAATTTTTGTTCCCAGGGAAATGGTATGATGAGATTTGTGACAAGCAATACCAATTTGTATGTGAGAAAAAACATCCATTTTGAAAACAGCAGTTTATCAGAAGAACGGGAAAAACAATCATACATTTATAATGCAACACATGCAAAAGAAATATTCATTTGGCTTGAACTGAAACAAAGAATAACTTTCATATCATAGACACATTAATTTTTATTTGTGTTTTAATGGTTTAAGGTACCTTTCGAAAAAAATTAACTCATACAGAGACACCAGCACTTGCTAGTGGAAAAATGTTAATTTTGCGTATATTGGAACTTGGTACTTGGTAGAGAAAATACGACAATCGAAATATATCAGAAGTAGGATCGGGTATCATGGAGGAGCAACTTTCCTATCCAAAAGCCACATGCGCTCCTTGTTTTGTTTGGGGTGAAAAAATAACAGGTAGAAAATGATTTAAGTTTTTATGAAAAACAGTGGTTAATATTTGATATGTATAATACGCAGCATTGTTAAGGCTAAAAAAAAGGGGGGGCCTTATTTATGGGAAAAGTTTACTGTGACGTCACACAAGTTATGACTTGTATGTATTCCTCATAATACTAGAAAATGAAATAATTTGCAACTTGAAACTGTACTAGCATAATAAACAACAATAAAAATTATCAATCCATTAAAGAAAAGTTGCTAGTTTAATCCCATACAGATGGTTTTAAACGAATCACTGATTGCGATGAACTTGCCAACATGACGTCTTTTTGGGTTTTTAAAAAAAAAAAGACGTATTTCATGTGCTATGAGAGGCATTTTAAGATTTTTGTTGTTGACAATAAAAATGCTTTTTATTTTTAAACAGAATATTATTTACAGGTTTCAAACAGGCTATTGATACCAATGTATGTCCTTTGTTTAGCGCGAGTATTCATTAACTATCAAGAGAATGTTTTAATTAATTTTGTCGTGTTTTTATGTACATGTAAAGTACATGTATATTTTACATCGAAACCTATTAAATCATTCTCTCGCAAGGGCATACACATACAGATCTTAACCATTTTTTGTAGATTAATAAAGGATATTTTCCTTAACTTGAAGAGTGTTGCTGTTTTTTTAATCTGTATCGTGACTTTATAAGTACCAAAAATATTTTGGGAAAAGTCAAAAATATTTCGACATGGGCTTATTTAGTTGAAATTTTAACTATTAAAACGCGACTTCTAGTCAAAGCAGCAGACCTTTCCAGAAAGTACAAAGTATGCAGAAAAAAATAATAACTTAAGTTTTAATTTCAACTAGGGTATGCCCCTTTCGATATTGAAATGTGTTAATGACGTACATTCAATAAGGGTACTATGCATTCATCACGTGACTGTCCATCGATGGGACCAAACTTCATACAGTACAGAGTGGATTATACTATGCTATTTCCATAAGTATTTAAGTTCTGTGATAATACAACAGATTAAAAAAGATAAATTCAACTTTAAAAAATTCCAGTTTTTGCACGTCTATTTCCAGTTGCTTGCATTAACAGTGCTGCGAGAAATTTTTAACTGGGTTCGAGGGTTAAATGAATTTTGTCAGACTAAGTACCAAACTGTTGCCTGATGCCGTTAGGCAAATGTTGCCTTGTAAATCTTTTCATTGCAAGCAATGCATGATCAATGAAATTCAAAAAGGGAGGAAAATGAGACGGGTTCCGTGCAAATTAAACGTCATCAATACTTCCTTTTACATGCTGTTTTTGTTTTTCATCCCGCACAGAAAGCGAATACGATTCATTGGTTAATGCCATATAGATAAAGTTGACGCAGGCTGTATGTAGCGAGAGGCTACGAAGCTATTTTTTCAAATAAAAATGTTTTATTATCAAATAAAGTATCATTTGAACATATATTTAGGGTCGTTAACCTGTATGCTATGTCTGTTTTACTATTTTATACATATTATTTTCGAAAAATTTAAACCAAGTGATACTGTCGTATATTTGTTAGCAGATTCATTAAAAATATACAGCAAAACTCGTTTAGTACCAACATGGATATTCCGAATTTACGGATATAATGAAGTTATCTTGGATACCAGCTTTATAAATTTAACGTCTTTTTATACGGGTATAATGAGTTACGGATATAGCGAAGTAATTTCACATGTCCCAGTGATCATGATTTCGCTATAGTGGTTTTTTGTAATAGAAAGGTCATTATAAATCAATTTATTGCAAAGGCATTCCCTCTATATCATACCAGTTTTTTACATGTAAAATCAATAAGATTGATTGATTCATTTATTGTGTATTGTTTAACGTACCATTCGAGAATTTTTCACTCATACAGAGACGTCACTGTATACCGGTGAAGGACTTTAAATTATGACCTATCTCGGCACTCCGGGCCATGAGCAGTGAGGGTTCTTCTTTGCCCAAAGCCTACAGTGATACTGGACCTGCGTTTTTAAGGTAATATCCGAAAAACCCGTAACTTTCACTTCTTGTGCCGAGCGCTTGGCGAAGGAAAAATCGCTACCCATGTTTACGTCTTAAGTTTAGTGGCGCTGCAAACGAAAATCAACCCGGGCATCCCGATCACGAAGCGAAAAAATAAAAAAATTAACGTAATTAAAAAGTGATCCAAACCTTAAGAAAACTTGTAAGTAAATTAAAATATACAGTAAAACTCGGTTATAGCGAAGTCCTGGGGACCTGTGAATTTAATTCGCTATATCCGTAATTCGTTATATCCGTATAACGAATTCGTATAACCATTATAACGAATTCGCATTATGCATGTTTTCTTTCAAGTATATTACTACCAACTATGTTAGTGAAGCAAATATTACAAAACATATCTTCGATAACTAAGTTTTTCTTATGAATTGAATTTTATATACAAATGCTTAAAGGAAATACAGTAAGTTAAACTTATCATTTTTTATAATCTTTGAAAGTTCGTTATGAAAGATGTAAATTTCATTATATTTAATCTCAACGGGACTCAAAATCAGTTCGCTATATTTGTAAATTCGTTATATCAGAGTTCGTTATAACCTAAAATTTTACAAGGATTTATTAAGAATTTTGTCGGGAACCCGAAAAACTTGCTATAACCGTGAATTCGCTATATCCGTGTTCTATAAACGAGTTTTACTGTAATTAAAAAAAATAATAATTCCTATATTACATGTAATTAACAAGTAAAAATATTCTATCTACAGTCTTTCAATTGTATGTTTTTCATTGAATTAGTGGAATATATACATGTAGGTTCACTGGACTTTTTACGAAGTACATATAGTGTTGAAAAGAATTATAGATTAAACTAAGATTTCTAACTTTGTTATGCTTTTGCAATATAAGAATTTATACATTACCTCAATATTGCATGTGAATTTGAAAACGTCATGTGCCTCTGATATCACGTTACATATTTAAATAAAAAAAGTCTAAAGTTTATCGACACGTAGATTTGAACATTATATTTTTTCTGATAACAGTAATCTTTTAAAAAAATGCCCCTTCTAGTAAAGAATGTATTTTTATATTTCGATTTGAATCCCATAACACTACTACGTATGCAGTTGATGAAAGTATATCGCATCATAAGTAATGAAACTTGTCGATTGAAAAGTTAAAGTACCTCGGTAATGTTCTTTTAAGGACAGATGAAAAAACAATTTTTTTCTTTGGGGGAATTGATACATGTCTAAAGTTTAGAAAAGTGGATATTTCTTAGATTTCTTTTCTCCAAAAAACTGGAAAATGAAATAAACTTGGAATATTTTAGTAACATTTCAATAAAATTAAAAATATGGATAAAACACACTCTGTAAAGGTTTACAGATGAAAATACATTTTAGAATATGTTAAATTGGTGTAAAAGTGTAAAATATTCTTTAGAAAAGTATATAAGCCAGGTTAATTTTTAGGGAAACAAAAATAAAAATTAGCGAATATGATATTGATGAATTTTTGTCATTTTGTTTTTCTTACTAAAAATCACCTGGCTTGGTATATTTTTCTAAGGTTTATATTGCACTTTTAGCACCAAGTAAAAACCCCTGAAATTTGTTTTCACCAGTAAACGTTTACTTAGTGTGATTTTTTATGTTTTTGTTTTTTTATTGAAATATTACTAATATTTTCTAATCTTTTCATTTTTCCCGTTCTTAGGATAAAACTTCTAAAAATTATCCACTTTTTAAACTTTTGACATGCTATTTAAAACTCTTCCAAACAAAAAAAATTTTTTTGTATCATCTATCCTTAAAACCCGTTTTGGTTATATAAAATTATCTCTGCTTAATGTCAACTCATGCCGAGCGATATTACATGTATACCCGCTGTTTGTGGGGTAAAAATGTGGGTTAAGATTACACACATGATATATTTAACCCAAAATATGTTTCCATAAAGAACAAATATAAACTATGGAAACAATAATTTAAACGGTTTCATTTGAAAACCGCTAAAATTTCAAGCCAGAGCTACATGCGTAGGTTCACTTTATGCATAAAATTGCCCTGTATATACCTATTCATGGGCTAATTTTCTATGTTCTACTTTAAACATCAAGATAAAATATAGACTTGATGCTTTCATTTCCAAGTAATTTTTTTTTGGAATGTTGAATTATAGGAAAACATGCTCTTAAATTTTAATGTTCCAACATTTATTTTTAAGAAAAAAAGGCGTATTCGAGTACATACAGATAAAAAAATAATGTGAGACACCCTCGAACCCAGAAATAAAACATATCTCGGATTCCTCAAAAAGAGTTCTATAATTAGATCTTTACATGTTTTAGATCAGAGGTTGCCCTGTATTAATAATATCGGAAAATAACTTCAAAGTTCTGCCGTTTTAGTAGAATTTTTCGGGTTATGGGGAAAAAGCCGCATTCACGATATCGGAATGTATTTACTAGCGAGAAATTTACGTATTTTTATAGTTTTTCAATCGCCAAAGGGCTAAATGATTTTCCATGCATTATCAAATAAAACTTAG